ATGTTTTTATTGATTTCAGAGAGAGGAAGGGAGAGGGAGAGAGAGAGAAACATCAATGATGAGAGTCAATGACTGGCTGCCTCCTGCACGCCCCTGACTGGGGATTGAGCCTGAAACCCGGGCATGTGCCCTGACCGGGAATTGAACCTGTGACCTCCTGGTTCATAGGCCAATGCTCAACCGCTGAGCCACACTGGCCTGGCCAAATATACCTGTTTTTGTAAAACCAACACATCCACACTAACACAGCCTTTCGTCTCTGTCTGCTCTGTATTTTCAACCAAACACCACTGTGCCCGCCACAGGCTGTCCATCCCAGCCAATGATGTCACGCAGCCCTGCATTCCTAATGCAGCTTTAAAGTGAGAAAAAGAACATTAACGCGAGAAACTTTTGACGAAACGGGTTTTCCTGGTTAAATCTCATGGAGCACGTCATGGCCTGGCTCCCTGCAAATGGGACATAAACACTTTAGTCCCAACACACAGTGACATGTAGGATATGCCAGCTCAGCCTCTGCGAACAGAGCAGGTGTCAGGTAACGGATACTGTCTTCTGCCCAGGTGTGCGGGTCACCTGACTGCTGGTCATGCATTAGTTGCAGGTGAATGGAATTCGGCAAAACTCCTGCTGGAGCCTGGGAACCAACATCAGCCGCTTTGGAAAGAGGCTGACTTCTCACCAGTAAAAGGGCCTGAGCAAAGGCAGGCCTGAGTGCTGATGCGAAGCCTGACCCAGTGCCCAGTCCTTTAGGTCCCTGCCAACCATGAGGTGGGAGGGTCAGGGCCCGATTCATTTATTCGTTTTTGGTCAGCGCAGAACTTCCAGGAGGTCATTTCTTTTGCCCTCTGTCGTTGAAAGAGATCAACACTTTGTATTGTAACAAACCCTTCAAAAGTCAACTACAGCCATGGGGGCCACCTGGCTTCCTCCTGTGGCTCCCACTGCCTTGTGCCTTGTGGACACAATGATTTTTTGTTGCAGGTACGTTTACAAACCCAGCTCCAGACTGTGGTAATGTTCACACAGCACCAGTCCCTCACCACCAACCAGTCACTGAAAATGGAGTGGCAGGGAGAGGGGGCAATGCGAGATTCATTGCAGCCCTCAGTCCGTTTACCCTCCTCAGCTCCAACCACCTGCATGCGGGGAAGAAAGACTCACACAACCTCTGCTCCTCTCAGCACTGGCAGTTCATGGGCTGAATCAAGTCTCCCTCTTCAACAATTCTCAGCAGGGTCTGGATCAGAACCCAGAACGTTCTACCCTCCGAGCACAGCCATGGAAGCGACTGTGCCTGGAACTGAAGAGGAACAGAGATGGAGAAAACTGGGCCCACAAACCCACCTGTCTTTTACCATCTTTTGCCTTCTGCCACCACCCTGGTCACCTTGACCTGGTGGCTGCTTATCCCACGGACGACGGTGCTACACTGTGGGGCCGGTGGCTCTCCAGCTCTCATAACCGGCCTCCAAAGCCAGTGTTTGCGGGAAGACTAACTGAAAGGGAAGGTTCGGGTCTGTCACCACGGAAGAGGTACCTACCCACCTTTGAGAGGACCACATTCTAGCCAGGGCTGCAAGACTGGGCAAGTAAGTAATAAATACACAACACCCGGTTAGATTTGAATTCCAAACTGACAATAAATAATGTGTTAGTGGAAGTGTGTTCCAAATATTTCACAAACGTTTTTACGCCAAAGGAGTTATTTGTTGTGTCAACCGATGGTCACTGGCACCAATTCAACACCAATGGACTCCCCGTTTGCAGTGCAGTAAAGCAAGAAACTTTATTCAGCGCAAACAGAGCAAGTGTGATAGAGCTCGGCTGGAGAACAGGGGGGCTGCAGGGCGGCCTTCAGGTGAGGCCCTGTCCAGCTAGACAGCCCTACACTCTGCTCCGCTTCTTGTTTCACCTCCAGCTGGGGAAACACACTCGGGGTGTTTGGGGGAAAGTGCTGTGGGAGCCTGAGAGGAGCTGACTTATATCGAGAAGCCCTGTCACTAGTCTCTGACTGGTCCATCCTCATGCAAATGAGGACTCCAAATCATCGAAGTCATCCTGATTGGCCAGAATGGAGCCGCTTTGGCCGGTACAGATGCTGATGGGGGGGATATAGCTGTGCAGCAATGATTGGACAGGGCAGGTCTCAGTCCTGCTGGTTGAAACAGGATCCCAGGAAACCTCTGGAAGGGCACTCAGGTGGCAGAGACTGCAGCTGGTTCCTTCAGTGCAGGGGCAGGCAGTTCAGCACAGGCTTGTCCCTGAGGCACACTCTGCAGGCCAGGCCCCTGTTTAGAAACAGCTGCTGGGCCATTTTTAAACTTGAGTCCAGTTAGCGGCCAGGAGCTGTCTTCTTTCCGGGTAGGTACCTCCATTCTTGAGGTCAACAGTGTTATCTGAACTTCATGTTTAACTGGGCATCTTGGATTTTTCTCTGGCAGCCCTAACAACAGCCAACCTAGAATCTGACCTGGTGAAACCTGCTTCCAACCCTCATTTTCAACACTCTCTGGTAACCTGGGACTCCCCGGAGCTCTGGGGGTGGGGGAGAGGGCAAGGACAAACACCTGTACCTGTGCTGCGGGTAGTGTGGCTCACACTTCCCAGGTGCTCCTTGGGTAAGAAATACTGAACGGAGGTCACAGCACCAGGTCCTCCCGCAGCCTGGTTCTCCCCTCCTTCTTGCACTGAGCACCTCCACGTGGCAGGTGCCCCGCCAAGAGCGAGACAAGTGAGGCTGCACGGGACTTGCATTCCAGAGGCAGGAGTCACGCAACAAGGAAAGAAGCACTGTCGGTCAGGGCCTGCCCCTTTGTTGGCTCAGTCTGCAGCAGCCTGGCTCCTTGGTCCAGCATTTATGTTCCTTCAATAATCCTGTGCTGCTCCCACAGTTAAATGTTTCTCTGAATTCAGCTTCAGGCGAGTGTTTGCCGGGGCTCCCAGTGGGGCGTGCCATGCACTGGGCATAGGCAGGCTGGCTCTGCCTCCCACTCCCTTCCCAGCAGCTCCGCCCAGCGAGGGGAGAGCCTCCTGCAGCCACCTCACCAGAGGCCTGGGCTTTCAAGAGTAGCCAGGTTGAGTGTCGGCAGGTCTGCGTTTACAAAGTCATTACAAGATCAGCTCGATTGGCCCATCCACCCCTTTTATCATCTCGTGTACACGCACACGACCTGAGTTGGTTTCCGATGTGGAAAAATGGACTTTTCCACATGGCTGGGTGAGAGGAATGCTCTCCTTTCTGTGGCTCACGTGCTCTCCTGGCAGGCGGCCCAACCCTGGGACAGGAGCCCTGATAGGCCAGTAAGCGCAGCATGCACAGTCAGAGCTGGCGCAGGCCCGCGATGCTCTGCAGAGACTTGTACCCGCGCAATTACACATTAACCCAGACTCGGCCTGAACTTCAGGCCCACAGAGTGGGCCGTGCCCCTCGCCTGGGCTGCGGGTGTTTTTTTGCTCTCTGCGGCCTCCCCAGCGATGGTCCTATCACCCGTGACACACACTCTTTCTTTTTAAAAAGGCTACCAGCCTGGCTGCATGGCTCAGTTGGCTGAGCGTCATTCAGTGCATTCAAAGGTTGCCAGTTTGATTCCTGGTCAGGTACATACCTGGGTTGTGGGTTTGATCCCCAACAGGGGAGCATACAGAAGGCGACTGATCGATGTTTCTCTCTCTCTCCCTCTTCCTCTTCCTTGGGTGAAGATTTAAAAAAAAAAAAAAAAAAAAAAATCAATCCTGGAAACATAATGCCTGACCCCTGTGAAGCAGTTTCCAAAGGGTAGAGTTCTGGGCACCTGAGCGTATGGTTATGAAAGATAATTTTGAGCAGTTAAGCCTTCCAAGCGCTGTCACCATAGTCCTCCTACCTGGTGACTGCGGCCACCAGAGGCAGTGTGCCTGTGACTGCCCCACAGCATTATTACGATGTCCTTCCTCAGAGGCAGGCACGGAGCATAAGGAGGCACCGTGAACACTGCCCAACATGTTTAAGTAAATCTAGAGCTTTGATCTCCTATGTAACAAAACTCTCTCATTATTACACGACAGCCTCAACAATGTATTACGAGAAAGGCTTTCCTTTGTACACACATCAAAGAAACTGAGTGTGAGAATCCAGAAGCTTATTAGAATAAACATTTCCAACCAGGCTGCTGGGGTTATTACAAAGTACACCCATGGGCAGGTCTTTAGGTATCTTCCAGTCCAATCCATTTAAGGGCAGCGGAGAAAGTGACTTGCCCAAAGTCACAGAGCTGGTGGCAAATACTGGGCCTCCCAGCTCCTGGCCACTCCCATCACCATCCACAGCAGCTGGCAAACCCACCCCAGCATCAAGGTCACCTGTCGTCACAACGTCAGCCTCGGCATGATTCATCCCCTACTACACTGAGGCAACATGCCGTTTGCTGGCCCCTTTCCCACTTTCTACACATTTTCAATGTGGTTTTTTACAGTTATATCACAAGCCTCATGGGAAGTGGGGGTGTGGACACTGTCTGACACAGACCAAGATGCACCAGCTCCCCAGCCGAGGAGGGGGTGTGCCCTGGGGCAGCCAAGACACTCCTGTTGTCACCATGGACACCAGAACGGAAGCTGCTGAGCCTCAGACATATGACCCAGACCCAATGAACATGAACCCGATACTGTTTCCTCAGGTGGGTCTGCTTTCTGCTGTGTCAGGAACCTCTCCGCTGAACGTCCCTCTCTGCCCACAATACCGCACGGGTCTCCCCATCTAAAATAAGTACATTAACTGCCCGCGTCCCCTCGCAGCTATTGCTGAAGTTCTCTTCCATTCATCTGTTGAATCTCCAACAACCACCTGTCCTGTAGGCGGAACCACGGACACGGCACTGCCCCTCTGCTCCTAAACACCCTCCCCCAGCCCTCGCTGCCCCATGGCTCCTGGGGTGACTCCGCCTCCAGGCTCTCCCCACGGCCCATCCCCTTTACACATCCATCCCCCACTAACCTTCCTAACGACACGACCTGGATCATTTCTCAAGTAAAATATTCCAGTGATGGCATCATGAGAACATTAGACAACTTTCCTCCACAGAAAACAAGCACAGAACTGGAGAAAATATTAAAAACATCCATTTGGGGCCCCGGAAAGCAACCAAGAGCCAGCAACAATGAGAGGACTGGTCATGAGCGCAGACCTACCTGCAGCAGGTACAATGGTGGGTCTGCGGCCCCGCTACCCGGCAGAACTCCTTCCTTCCTCCTCCCGGATCCGGTGCAGAGGGTCTCAGCTCTATGGTCCCCTTGACTCAGAGTGGGTGACAGAGCAGCTAGAAAAGCAGAGGAGACACTGTGAAATTGCTGTGCCCTCAGATGCGTTCCTCAATCCACACATAGTCCCAGTGCCAGACAGTGGATCCTTCCTACCTGTTTGTCCAAGCACAGCTGTCCTCAAATTACTGGATTGATTGACTCAGGCACATGCAGACCCCCAGTGAGGCAGCAAAACAGAACACAACAAAAATGTTGAGCTGGGTAGACACAACAGGGGTGACACTGAGTCCAGGCAGTTAGCTGCCCACGCCCTCAGAAAAGCAGACAACAATCACAGCCACTGCAAGATGTTCTCAGATACAAATTACAAGACGTACTTTGTAAAAGTGCAACCCACACTCGTGGGGGAAAAGCAATCAGTAGAAAGTGGCTCCACGTTGTCCACAAGTTGAGTTTAGCAAAGGTTGTTTTTTTTAAACTATTAGAAATATGTTCAAAGATTTGAAGGAAAATAGGTTCAAAGAGCTGGAGGAAAGTGTGCTAAGCATGAGGGAACAGAGAAAAAATGGAAACTATGAAGTTAACAAATGGCAGATATGAATCCAACCACACCCATAATTATATTAAATATAATTACATTAACTACTCCACTCAAAAGGGCAGAGATTGTCAGGCTGGATCTAAGAGCAAAATCTAACTATATTGCTGTTTAAAGGAGACACTTTAAATTTAAAGATGCAAAGACAGTAAATGTGAAAAAATATGCAAACCTGACACACGAGAGATCTGGAGTGACTATATTAATATCACATCGTTTTTAAGCTAAGGAATGGTACTGAAGACAAAGAGGTACATTTCATAATGACAAGATGCTCAGTATAGCAGAAATATGTAATGTAGACATATATGAAACTAACAATAGAGCCCCAAAATATATAAAGCAAAAACTGACAGAACTGAAAGAAGAGAATGACAAACAATTACACGTGGAGGCTTCACTACACTTTCTTTCCATAATTCACATATCAAGAAAACCAGCAAGGAAATAGAAAATTTAAACACCACTATCAAACAATTGACATCTATAAAACACTCCACCCAACAAAAGCAAAATAGTCAACATACAACAGCAAAATATTTTTTCAAACACACATGCCACATTCACCATGACAGAGCACATGCTGGGCACTGGTGCAAGTCCCAATATCTGAAAACACTGAGATCATGAAAGAACACGTTCTCTGACCACAACAGAATTAGATTTTAAGTTAATAATAGAAAAAAAAAATCTGGTAAATACCCAAAATACGTGGAATAATCAACAGGTCAAAGGAGAAGCCGTCAGGAAAATATAACTTGAACATAATGAAAATGAAAACACAACATATCAAAATTTGTGAAATGCAGCTAACGTTGTGCTTAGAGGGAAATTCACTAAAAGTTTGTATTAGAAAAGTAGAAACTCTAGCCCTGGCTGGTGTGGCTCAGTTGGTTGAGTATCATCCCGTGCACCAAGAGGTTATCAGTTCGAGTCCTGGTCAGGGCATGGGTTTTGGGCTCGATCCCCAGTGCAGGGTGTGCAGGGGGCAGCCGATTGATGGTTCTCTCTCATCAATGTTTCTCTCTCCCTCTCCCTTCCTCTCTCTCTCAAATAAATTTTTAAAAAATCAATAAAAACATTTTTTCAAAAAGTAGAAACTCTATTATCAATGATATAAAATTCTACTTTAGGAAGCCATAAAAAAATAAGAACAAATTAGACCCAAAGTGAGAAGGAAAAATAGTACAGAAATCAATGAAATGAAAACTGTCAAGCAGTAGATAAAAAATCAATGAAACCAAAAGATGGATCTTTGAAAATATCAGTAAAATTTTTAAGCCTTTAGCTAATGTCATGAAAGAATATATATACATTACTGCTAGGTGTAGAAAATGGGGGGAGGAATTAGCAGTTTCATGTTAAAGTAAACACACAATTATCAACAAACCCATCGAGCCCACTTCTAGGCATCTACCCAAGAGAAATAAAGTAACATGTCCACGTGGAACTTCCATGTGACCACACAGAGTCGGATTCCTAACAGCCCAGAATTGGAAAGGGCCCAAAATCCATCAACTGGTGGACAGATAAACAAAATGTCGTACATCCAAGACATGAAGCATTACTCAGCAACAAAAAAGTGAGCCAACCACCAACACATGCAGCAACGCTGAGGAGTCTCAAAACAGCAAGCTCCTGAGAGAAGCCAGACAAAGACTCCATACTGCGAGATCCTGTTTATGTGAAGTTCCAGGGAAGTCAAACCATGTGGAGATCAGTGGTTGCAGGAAGCCGGGGTGGGGCAAGTTATATTCTCAATAAAGATACAGAGATAGACATAGACGTATATAGAGTGGTGTGTCTGTGTGTGCATGTGTAAAACCCCACATGGCTTATTAAAAGGCATATCTGCCGCTGACCATGGCCCCCCACAATTGGCTTTCTGGGATCTTTTGGGCCTGCCTTACCCATGATCATCTTTCATATGCCTCCTCCTATCCTATACATCTTACTGTTTTCAACACCAAATTATTTGCCCCTACTGATCAAGTTTCTTAAAATCCCATCGCACCATCTCTAGACATTCAAATCTTAATAATCTATTAAGACCCAAGTCACTTCACCTCCTGCCTGGCTCATTTCTGATCCCTTTGCCCTTCTTCCTACCCTTAACCCCTGGGGTCCCTAAGCCTGAAGCAACATTTCCCTCCTCTGAACCCCAACAGCAACCTACACTTGCTCCATCCATCCTCCCTGCAAACTGTATGTTACAGTCATTTGTGTAACTGAATGCCTCCATTTCCCTCACAGAGGGGCTGCTGTATTAACTCCTCGTATATCCCAAATGACACTTATCATAACAGTGTGCACTTGGTAAGTGTTTGTTAAACAGATTTTCATCTGTTAAACAGATTTTCATTTTTGTCGCCTGCATCCCCTCCCGAAACTCCCGCAGGCTGGTTGTGGTGCGTCTCCTGATTGACAACAGCTTGAGGTCTTTTGTTTTTCTGTTTTGTTTTGCTTTTTGGCTAATACCCACCCTGAGAGGTTTTTTTAGAGAGGGAGGGAGGGAAGGAGGGAGAGAAACATCAACGTGAGAGAGATACATTGATGGATTGCCTCCTGCATGGGGATGGAACCTGCAACCCAGGTACGTGCCCTTGACTGGGAATCGAACCCTCAACCCTCAGGTGCATGGGTGGATGCTCTAACCACTGAGCGACACTGGCGAGGGCCAGTTGGGTTCTTTTCTCAGCACCCTTCCCCTTGACCACCAGGACCCTGATGGTCACTTTCATTCCTGAGACACCTCCAGCCATTGGCCTCCCCATTTCTTACCTCTGTCTCTGGCCCCTCTCTCTCCTCCCAGCCCAGAGCTGTGGATATTCCCAAGGCTCAACCCTTCGCTTGGCTCCCTATAAATTTTTGATCAAAGTACTTACCCACTCACGCGGTTTCACAAACACCTCCCCGAGGACGGCTTTTAAATCTCTGTCTTGAGTCCTTAAACTGTCATCCCTCCTCCAGCCTGTATCTCCGTCAGTGTCCGAACTTGCCCTCTGTCCTACCATGCTTAGTCCCAAGGCTCTACAGACCCCCTTCCCTACCAAGCTGGCCCCTTGAGCTACCTACCTTTTTTATTTTTTAAATATGTCTTTATTGATTTCAGAGAGAGGAAGGGAGAGGGAGAGAGAGAAACATCAATGATGAGAGTCATGGATTGGCTGCCTCCTGCACGCCCCCCACTTGGGATCGAGCCTGCAACCCGAGCCTGTGCCCCGACCGGGAATTGAACCCCGACCTCCTGGTTCATAGGATGCTTTAACTGCTGAGCCACACCAGCCAGGCCCTTGAGGTACCTTTACCGTTCCTACCCACGATACCATTCCTTTACTGACCCACATTCAGAAACTGGACTTTATAACCTCACGTGTAGTGTGCATTTATCTTACCCCAATCATGTGGCCAATCGTACTCATTTTTCATCTCTCAACATAATTAAGACAAGACTTTACACACAAGAGATCAACAAATACGTTTTAATTAAATGCCTCCCCTTCCCTATAGCCAGTGACTCTGTGATGTTTCCCTTTAAACTGTCTCCTGTATTTATGGCTTCCTTTCCCGCCACCCCTCCCGCCACCCTCCTGTGTGACCCACACTTGAATTACAGCCACAGAGCATCATAAACACACTGGCCTCCTGTTTAGAGACTCGCCTCTTGTTCAGGCCATTAATGCTGAATTCATATTTCACATCAATCCTCTGAGCCAAAAAAGCCCATTTCCTATAATTTAGGAGGCGGCCCCACTTGTTTGCTGAGGACCAGGAGATTTTCCCCAGGTGCCTCCGTGGTCTCTCTCCTTACTCATCGCTTTCCTGTAACATCCATCTGCCCACTCGCTTGTCATCCCGGCCGTCCCCATCCTTCCACGTCCAGATCGATAGCTCTGTCCATTAGGAAGCGCCCCCCCCCCCC